AAAAATTGCATAGTAAAAGTTTGCGAATCATACGTGTGCAAAGTCGCGAATGTAAAGATCGCGACTAATTCTGTCTCGCAAATCTTACGAAATTTTTTTCTAAAGGAACGAAATAATGAAACAATTGCGACATCATTCGACAAGAGTGCGACTCCGTGGACCCATTCGGAAAATCCGGTGCGCAATCGAAACCAAGATCGTCGATTACAATTTCTTTGCGCAGTTTTGTTCTCTCTTTGTTTAAATAATATATATATCCACGAACAAGGCACTCTCTCTGCTTGACAGAAGGGTTTTTGCCGGATAGTTTGTCCTCACACGTCGGCCAGTACGTGTACCGGCGAGTGAAGTTTTTATCGCCAGATCAAGTTTTCGTTTCATCTCCTTCCTTGAAAACGTCGAGTAAAAAAATGGTCGGGATACGTTTTAGAATATTTCGATAAGAGTTCTCGCGCTTTACAAATCTCGCTTGTTGCATCGAAAACTCCGGAGTTAGGCTCTACGCTGGACAGATTCTGCTTTTACAAAATTGTTTTTTATCTTTCTTTCTTTAAAGATTAATGACATTTTTTTGCTGTTCTTCCTTCTGCATCTTTTTCTCCACCTTCTTAAAGTCGTATAGTCAAAGATCGTACAAGACTTTCGATGAAACGTCATTCCGTTTTTGGCTAAGAGAAAAGTAGTAACACATCGATCAAGAGATTCTTGATCTATAGCAATTCTTCTTTATTTTCGATTATTTTATATTATGCACTAGAGCGAAATAATGTGACATGCACATTTGTGCTAGATAATGATATTGCTATGCTTTCAAACTTCTTTTCGTTCATGCTTTTATATCTTTATCACAATTCTCTCCTATACCCGTTAACATTGTTGAGAAAATTGCAAAAATGTGAAAAAAAAAAATTAAAAAACTAGGAAGCTACATTTAGCTGCCAGTATTATCCCTACACTTGGACAAAATAGTAGAACTGAATTCTACCTCTCCGTTCGCGATTAATTAATTATTCACGTTTAATTTCGACTAACTGAGAATTAAAACAGTGTGCAAAGTCACTTTTAAATTAAACACCATATTAAGAAAAACATGTACAACGCTACAACGCTTTTTTCACCTAGGTGAATTATTGACGAAATTTCAGCTACTATACTTACTCAGTTTACTTCATCTCGGAAGCAACTTAAAGAAATGCCACGGTCGTACCGAAAAAAGACGGATGTAGGTCGTAACCATTATTACGAATCACATGATCGGTTTAATCCTTTCAATTCTTATATGAATGGCATACAATATCGACAGTTTGCAATAATTACTTGATGTATAATTTTTTCATCTCTTTTATCAATGTGTAGTTATACCAGTCACCACTAACGGAGACATTATGTGTTGAATTCTACAAAATGTCCGAAATGTCGTAACAATGACGAAGAAAGTAATTTCTTGATGACAAAATAAATTACAAGTGTTGAATAGATATTTTTCGCGTGCAAAGTTTTGTGTTTTCAAGAACATTTGAAAGTGTGAAAAACAGGAAATTAGTAATTGTTATGAATCTTGATATCCTTCACACGGGCTAACCCGTGTATAATGTTGTATTTAATATTTGCAACATTTTGTCAAAATTCCAAGTCTTCTTTCGTTGAAATGAAAAATTTCGTTAAAAATTGCAAATTTAGCGCAAACGCGTACGTATTCGTATTCATTTAATGCGATATCGAGAGGATTAAAGCAAAATGTGACTAGCGCATTGTTTGCACAATTATCCTGCGACCTGCACGTCCATCCTCTTTCGATACGAACACGAGCCAGTGCCGTCGTCGCAGAGGAGGTCTCGCCCACGGGCAGATCGACGTGCGTTACAAGGGGAAGCATTTAGTACGTTTTTGGGCAACGACCGATCGGCAGTCGACCTTAGAACCGAGGGTGAAATTCTCCGGCTTGACGGTCTCCTCGACGGAGATTTTGCCGAGTCGCTTTTTAACGCGAAACGGCGTCGACCGGGGCGATATGATCTCGTAAAGATCACTAGTTCGCCCTTGAACATCTCCTTTGTTGATCCGCTGATCGATGGGAATGGCGATGTCCACTTCGGCGCAATGATTCTGACTGGGCTTCTTTGGTTGTTCCTTTCCCGTCGGTTCGTCGATCTGATCTGTCTTGCTCATCTCTTCAAACGGGGAGCTGAAGACGTCCGAAGAGTAGCTTTTAGAGTCACAGATCAGCGTGAGAGTGGGATAATGGTCGGTCTCTTCAGGTTCGAATGGCAAGTCTCTCGTGGAGGCCAAAGAGATCGCTCTGGCTTCTGGCTTTTGAGGCTTCTCCTCGTCGGCGTAATCCAGCGACAGACATTTCTTCTCGAAGAGAGCTGGCCCGGGTGATTTCTGCTCGGTTTTCGTCTCACTACTCGCCGTCAGCTGCTGTTGACTCTCTTTGGTCGCCTCTTGCTCCCGATTCGACGTGACTTTACCCTCTTCCGTAGTCTCCAGCGAATTGATCATTCTCGATGGACGTCGTACGCTATTCTCACGCTCGACCGAAAGACAGAACTCTTTGTCCGTCAGTAGAATGCGCTTCGGCATCCGTATCGGCTTCTGATCGAGATCCAGATCCTTCTCCCACGATGGAGTTTTCAACAGACTTTTGATCTTACGCAACTCAGTTAGCAGATCCATAGTCTCCTGCGACGGCTCGTGAAAGATCCGTCTCTTCGGTCGTCTGATGGACGCGTTCGTATCCGACTCGTGATCGCTGGGATGATCGATCCCTTCTTGCTTCCTCAGCACGGACCTCGTCGTGCTCTCCTGACTCTCCTCACCTCGTTTATCCTCAGCAGTTCCGGTGGCAATCGGTTTCGTGTCAATCGTTGCGACGTTCTCCAACCTCGCTGCGCTCGTCGTCCAGGTTTCCGCCGGTAGGAGGTTCAATCTCTCCTGTCGACTTATCGCGCCATGAGCGGCTCGAGTTCGCCGTTTGAAAGCCGCGTAACTCTCCGTGGATATCTCCTGCAGCTTGAACTTATCCTGCAGCTGTTTGAACGTTTCCTTTGTGTATTCTTGAACACCTCGACGTGTCGCTAGCGAGTCCTCCGACGAGATCTCCCGCGTTCTCCCGATGTCATCTGTTATAGTTCGTGAAACAGAGGGAAACGAAAGCGCGTCCTTCGCCAAAAGATTGTCGGAAGAGATGCCTCGTCTCTCGAATTGATTATATTTGACGGACCGATGCGTATTCTCGGCCGCCTTCCTAATATCCTCAATGGTGGATTTTCTGGTTTTCATCGGGGAAAGCGTCCCTCTTTCCAGAGTGTTGTATTCAGATTCGATATCGCGATCAGGAGAGACGCTCGAAATGGGCCTTTTCGTGGGCGAGTTCGGCGTGCTGCCACCGCTACGAAAAATCTCACGGGAATCCTGGAGAACCCTGCGACGAATCGGAGTGGCTGATTCCTTCTTCGCTCGCTGTGCTGCTCGCGCTGCACTTGGCGGCGAGTTGCTCCAACTGTTGATTTCACCCGATGAATCCAGACACGTGGTCGAGGAGGATATGATCTCCTCACTGGTGGTCACTCGGCACTTGAGCAATTCCGCGGCCACGCTGGTCGGTCGGTTCTGCAATTCCAGCTTCGATGCTGCTCGCTCGTCGTTGCTCTCTGCCGTCGGCAATGAACACGGGCCTGAATCCAACACGTCGTCGAGGGAAGAACCGCGCAACGGATCTCGATGCCCCTTCAACGGAACGGGGCACTCCAGATCCTCCGTTTCAAAGGAGTACATCTTGAGCAGAAATTCTTTGCCCGAACGCCTTCTCTCGAAGGTTGCCGCAGTCGCTTGCGAGAGCACCGAAGATTCGCGCACTTGTTCCAAACGAGAGGTTGGAACAGAAGTTGGCCTTCGAACGGTGTTTTCAACATTCTCTTTGGCAATAACTCGATCAATCTCATGTATAACGTTGTTCTGTACGCCGGCGTGATTCCTAACTGTGTCATTCGTCTTCGTCTCGATCTTCACTTGATTTCTGCGTTCGTTATGCGACGTATCGAAAATGAATTTGTCCAGAGTCTTGGACGAGCCAATTTTCTCCAGGAACGGTCTCTCGATGGCTTTGCTAGGTCCGATCTTCTCCAGATAAGGCTTGCCGATGACTCTCGGCGTGAATTTCGCCAGGAACGGTCGGTCTTCCGTCTTCGAGATACCAATTTTTCTGAGAAACGGTCTCTTCTTCTCCTTGTCTTTATCTTTGGCGGTGTCGAATGAGCGATCGCTCAGCCGATCGTTACTATAGGAAGAGTTATCGCTGCTCTTGGAGCGGGCTCGCTTGCTCCGCGACGAATACGGCGTGAGCGGTGTTCTGGGTGTTCTCGGAGTGAGAGACGGACTTGGTTCCACGTTCGGGCAGGTCTCGTCCAGGAGTGCCATCGCGGTCTTCAAATCCATGCAAGCTTTCCGAGGCATAGGTGTCGCCGACTTTGGGAATTCGCTCTCGATGCTGCTGTTTCTCGTCGAGTTTAAATCCGGTCTACCATCTCTGTCATCAGCGTACAAGTACGAGGGATACGAGCTGCGATCGCCCATCGGTCCCGGCGAGGTATCCGTCGTCGGATAGTCCTCCAGGTACCAGGGTGTCACGCCGAGATCCTCTGGTCTCGCGGCAGGATTCTGCGATGTCATCGTGCTCTTGCTGACAGCGTCCTTGCCGCCGGCAAGGATCTGCTGTTGCGGCTGTTGTTTCTGTTGCGGCTGTTGTTGCTCCTGCTGATATTCCGATACACCGATGCTGGACGATGGTACCGCTCCATCGCTGACAGAGACTTCGTTTGACGTACGACTGAGAAGCGGCCTCCGATAGCTGGAGCAAGTGGCGAAATGCGGCGGTGCCGGTCTCGCAGTCTCCACGATGACGCGACCTTGGGCGCACGGCACCACCGGTTCCCCGTCCGCCGGTGCCTCCTCCGGGGTCAGCGGCAGCGCTGCCCCGCGACCAAATTCAATGAACCACAGCTCGTCCCTCAACTCGCTTTCTCACTTCTTCTCGTTCATGTCTTTGTTCAGGTAATGCAGCACATAATGCAGGACTAAGTCGTAACAGTACTTGTATTCCGTCTGGAAAATGATATTACGAATCAGTATATCTTCGTAGGCGGTGACTTACCTTTTCATCTCAACTCTTAAAAATATCTCCATAAACAAGAAAAAAAGAAATGTATCATTACATTGGACAATATTATTAATTGTAATTGGAGGAAATAGAAAGTTGAGAAATATGAAATTGAAAGCTAAATATATTTTTAGTTGATTTGAATTGTATAATTTATTATAATTCGCGCTCAACTGATTAATGTTCAAGTCACTCTATTTTGGGAAAACAAAGAAAACCCACGTACCATATTTTCCACAAGCTGCGGCCTATGCCTGCGCACAGTTTTCACAGCTTGGAAAATATCAACCTCTCCGTGTTGAATGACCTGTTCTATGCAAGCGTTGGCGGCACAATAGACGCCGCAACGACTTCTGCCGTCGGGCGATACCACAGCTACCGGTCCGTAGTCCGTTCGTTGCCTCCATCTCTCAACCATATTCATGAGTTCGACTAAACTATTCGTGGAGGTGGGTACTTTGTGGCCCATTGGCCAACAAGTCAATTGGAACAATTGCACGGTTTTCGGCGGTGCTTTCACACCCGCCATCAATTCTGTCAACGAAACGATCTTCTTATTTATCCTAAAAACCTGAAAGACAAAATTGGTAGAGCTATAAATAAGAAGATTTATCTTCTTCTTTTTTCCAAATATACATTTTTCGCGAAAATTTAAATAAAGCTAGACTTTTGCTAGATTTTGAACGTCACGAAAAGTAGTTGACAAGAAGATTGACACACTCTCTCTCTTTCTCTCTCACCCAAGTTTTAATGTTCGTGTAATGATTATGGCTGATGTGATCGATCGTGAACACAGGTCCGTACTTCTTGGAGTGCCTTCCTTCCGGCCAAAAGCTAGGAAAATTTGCGGATCCCTGAGGCGGTACGCACAGCACCACCACCGCGGCGCATTCGTAATCGTAAACCAAAGACCAGAATTCACCGCACGTGTGCCGAAGAGGCCATTCCGTTACAATATATTCTCTCGGTTTTGTGTAACCCTGCATGACGCGAGAACAAATAAATATTTTGCGCAACAAACAGATCGCGCGAGAGAAATAATACAATTGTATATACATATATGTATACGTCGAGAATAACAGAGCTTTCTGTTATTCTCGACATTGAATTCACAATCTTGAGTCAGAATTATAGCTCACTAAGCAAATAGCAGATTTTTGAAAATTTATATTAATAATTCTTGCTGTAATGAATAATAATCACGCTTCATTATCATTTAACGATATGTTTTGCAAAACATTTGGTTAAAAATTTAGTTTTAATAGAAAAAGTGGAGACTTTTTAATATATTTTCGGTCTCCATTCTTGAAGGAAAGAAGTTCAGTAGATAATTAATTTTATCGACTTACGTCCACAAAAACGGCATTGATATAATCCGTGAAACTGTTGCCCTGAAAACTGGTAAGATATGGTCGAAAATTGTCCGCTGTAACACAAAGACAGAAATTGATTTGTGCAGCGAAATTTTCGCGAAAAGCTATTTTGTCGAAACTGTGCTATTTTGTCCAAGTCGCGCGCAGGTTGAAACTCACGTGGAACCACCAAGACATCTCTGTTTTTCTCTCTATTGTCAGCTCTGTGTCCACCGGCACAGTCGCCGATTGTAAAACGCGGCGTCTGCTTGCAAATTTGTTGATACTCTCGTTGGTATTCGTTCATCTTGGTTATGGAATTCTTTATGCTTTTTTGCTTCAAACGTTGCGACAATTCCGCCACGGGAAACCACGACGTACCGCACACGACAAATTCTTCTAGCGTGTCGTATATGAACTTGTACTGTTCCTATATCATAAAACAATATATAAGATAACAATATACAAGATAAGATCAAAGATTATCAAAGTACGCGATTATTAACTGTTTTAGTTGAGATGCTAAAATTTTCGATCGAGCTTGTACAATGCTTAATTGATATCGTACCAAATTTTCTATGACTCCTCTTCTGCTCTGTCTTAGCTTCTTCAAGTAACCAAACACGTCAAACGCGTCTTCTTCTTCGGCCAACTCCATGTTCGCGTCGATCGCTAAATATACCCCCGATCGTCCACCACCATCGCTTTACATAATAAATTACGAATAAGTTTATCATCTCGTTCGCGAAAATCAGTGTAATTAGTCATTCGCTCTTGTAACTTGTGAAACAGAAGTATTCTTACTTGCAGTGAACAATCATAGGTCCGGATTCATTCTTTATGGTTGATCCCACAACCGCACGAACACGCCGTCTAAATTCCAGTACCGCGTTTCCAAAGGGACAAGTATGCGAGTGCCATTCTGTGTAATGAAATTGTAGCAACGTTCTTTCTTCAGTAATCTCCTGAAAACATTTTCGTATGAAGAAAAAAGTGACCGAACAATCATGTAATCATCATCATCATTATTATTATTATTATTTCATAATGATTATTTTACTCTCTACGTAAAATATCATTCCCATTTTATTTCTCGCTTTGCTATTATTTTCTATAGCTTTGCTATTTCCTTATCGTTTCGCAAACTGTTTCAATTATATACGAAAATATATTAAGCACTTGAAATTTAAGATCAGCAATCAAAGATATAGAACATCGCCGCTTAACAAATTAACGAAATGCCGGTATGCTTTCGCGCGCGGAGCTAACTTATGCGGAGCCGGCAAATTACTTTCAAAGAAAAGTCAAGATTCTCCTTCTGCATTGTTACTCCAACAATGCCGCGTGTTAAACTCGACAATTAAAGTCGCATCTTGCATTGCTCGGTCCATGTTGCATGTCGAGATGTTTCGTAACACCTCGACTCGCACTTTGCTATTCCCGAAATGGCAAGTTACAGAAAAACTCATTTTTTTAAACATATTCGCGCGAATTGTTAATAGTTTTGCATAAAGAGATATATCACGTGTTGGCATTTGACGAAAATCTATTTCATCTAAATATAAACGTACAAGTTGAATGAAAACTTGTTTTAAAAAAATATTTAAAAAAATACTTCATATAATTAATACCATAGTATTGCAATGAAAATTTAATCGAATCGAAATTTTTCTTTGATTTCTATTAGCATCACTTCATATGTGTTATTAATTATTGTATTTTCTTAAAATACATGCAAGTTTTCTCATTCAATTTGTCTTAATAAACATAAACGATTAACATAAAAAAATGAGCGGAACATTATACGACATGTGAAAATAAAGTACTCGTCTTACGAAACAATACAATTGGAAAAGCATCTTTCTTTGATATACAATACAATACAAAAGTTTAAAAGAGAATACCAAGTCGAAGATTAGAAATGTAGTTGGGAGGGGGGGGGAGAGCAGCACTAATGTGATGAGGAGATAATTTTTAAGTCCGGAAGAATTCTCTTGAAATAACAGAAAAATAAGTTTAACAGAAAAAGAATTAACTTAAAAACGATACGAGTAACGGAATCAGATCACAAAGTGTAATAGTTGTTCCTCGTTCTCGCAGATAAAGACGCAATTAAATTAGCCGCTTGTGTGTAACAGCTACTCGAGCAAACTTATCATCGTCTTTTTCTATCATCATCGCGGATTTGCATCACATTTCACGTTCGGGCAGTGCCGATTAATTACGCTAGCTCTTTCACGAACTTTGTTTCATCGTTTTCCGCGTCTCATCCACTCCTAATCTCATCTTTGTTTTTCGAGATAACTCGGTCAAGTTTCGAGTTTGTCCGAGTTTGTCGTCGATCGAATACCATATTACCGAGTCGCAGTCATTCGAATCCCACGCGAATGTTTAGCCAGCAGAAATTTCCCCGACAAAAGGAGTAAGAATCTAATGACCGTCCATAAATTATCCGGATAATCTTCGTCGATGTGTCGCCTGTGTAGTTGTAAGCCCTCTTGATTTATTCAAGTCTCAATATATACAAATATCCCTACAATATTGCAGCAAATTTGTGTCGTTCAGTTGACGATGACAGATAATATCTATTGCAAATTTTTCAACTTGTACGGATTCGCGACTAGCTGAAATAACCAAGCGTTTGCCACTGTATTGTCGATCGATCGGTGCAAAATAGTTGCACATATTTGCGCTTTCTCACAAATATTGAATGTATTTGGGTATTTGTTCTGCGTGCGTTATTCACTGCTGCATATATGTCGAAAGTTATTAATCCGTACGCAGGTTTGTTTAAAAAAAAAACACACTCGTGTTTCGCTTTTATTATCCCAGATCCCATTTAAACTTTGTTACAGAGGGATATCTAGTGCGTGCGTAAAAATTATCCTTCACGGAAATATCAAGTACACTCACGTCATCCTCGTTTTTCTTGTAGAGCTTTATCGTTCTTATATGAAAATTGGCGAGTTCTTCTTCCTTTAACACAGAAACACCTATGCCGCCGTATTCCTCATCTTTGTCTTTACTCGCCGGCCAGTACTGTACACACATTACCTGTGAAGAAAAAGTCACAGATGAAAAGCTACGAAGCAATGTGAAGAATTTATATAACGGACTCTAAGTTTAAAGCTGACATTAGCGAAAGACTCGCGGTCAATGTTATCGCACGGTGCTTTTTGGCGCGACGTGGTAACTTTAATGGACACTATTTTCGAACTTTCCGCATTCTGTTCTCTTTACAAGAGTCTTGTTTCAAATGGCCTTTTACCTTGATGAAATCAAAGGTTTTCGTGAGCATAACGATGCAGGAAGCTTGTTCTTGCCAGACCATCCGCCAGAATTCCGTTACTGTATTCTCTATAGGTCCCTGAGTGACGATGTAAGCATTTGGTTTCAGTATACTCTGAAACGCAATATTAATATCGACATGGTAACTTGACGCTCTCGCTACATCATTAATATTCGCCTAAGCTTTCTTCGTGTGAACGGATGTAATCAGCTTGTGTTAACTTTGAAGAGCAACAGACGCGATTTCAAATTTGCCGACATGATAAATCTAGTCTTTTTCACGGTGAAATACATGATCCAATTGCATTATTGGATCGCATTTAAAATTCACAATTTAAAACTTAATTAGCCAAGGACTTTCGGGTACTAACGGGTTAATATTTATTGTCGAACATACTTACGTCTACATAGGATGCATTAACATAATCGGAATCAGGCTCGCCTTCTATCGTTTCCAACACTACTCTATTATAGTCATCTATAAGAAGGAAGGAAGAGAAATACTTGAGTTCTCACTTTGGTAAAACTCTTATTCTTAAATGAAAAGAAATTCTTGTTAAATAACCGACGCAATCGGCAATTGCAGTCATCTTATAATCATCTTATAATCGTGTGATTTGTTTTCTCCTTTATAAAAAAGTTAATCAATGAAAATCCAACAACTGATAATTCGTACGACTAATTCGTACAGTGATAGTAAAGTAGTTATTATTGCAACTAATTCTAACAATTATCCATCATTGTTAGAAAATCTATTACTTATTTAGTACAAGCTCCAATAATTGGAGATATTAAATTGTCAAAATGCGTTATCCTAACTATACTCGTTTGTTCGCTGATAATTATCAAAGTGAATTCTCGTTATGCAGCTTTTTAGCGTTTTCAATCGGAATTTTATCTCATTACGTGTGCAAATTGTTCGTGTAATTAACATAATTTTCTTCTGGACACGGTAATATCCGCGGTATGACGCAATGAGGGACTCGATCGACGATTACTACCTACATGGAATACACTTTTGATTTTGGTTCTTTTCCTTGTTCGCGGGTTTCGTGGCGTGTCTGCACGAATGCGTTTCCACTTTTGTCGCCGTCTGCAACATAACAAAATGAAAGATGAAAAAATTGAATGTCAAAATTCAAATTGGTAAAAATAACAAATGTATTTTAACTATACTGGAAAAAGTTTTGTTGTATTATAAGAAATTCTGGTTGATTCTACTAGTCCGTGAACAAGAATACGCTCAACCAGAAGCGTTTTATTAATATAATAAAATCATTTTTCTCAGTGTATGTATTCAGTTTTAATCATGGACTCTTCGGCTTTTTAAATAATTTCTCCATCAACTTTGAAGGCATTTTGATGGATAATGCTGGTGGTCTCTGACTCTTCCATGTTCTTTATTGGACATACAGTTTTAACAACAATGCCAATTATCAATCTTTCTATATGGAAATTATTTGTCATGAAGAATACCTTGCGTATTTCGTCTTATTTGTTTGCTAAACGCTTCGACACTCTTGTGGTACCATTTATTATGATTTTTACTTGTAACGACACTGAGGAAGGCCTAATATAGGCAGAAACGTTTGTCTTTGTAATTTTTATAATATAATTTAATTTTTGCACAAACACCGGCTCTTTTTTTGCCTTTTTCTTCCAAAATTATTTGAAAAATAACAAAATTATAAAGAAAATTGACAAGTATTATTATATTATTTATATCGAGCAGAAGTATATGTAATTGAAATCTTGTTATAACATATTTTGTATAAATTATAATTATTCATCTCTCTTAGAGAGCAGAGCACACGCACACACGCACGCACAGATACTTAGAAAACACTGTCACTCTTATGATTGCTATTCCTAGTGAAAGACTTTATTGCGCGTATTATATCATTAGGTTATTTGCTGTCATCGATATTCTTAGTAGATTATTGGATTATTAAATTATACAAATATGTAAATTTAGGAAACCAAGCAATCTTTGTTTGGAAATAAATAAGATTAATTTTTCGTAGGAAACGTATAATGCTTTGCATGTCAAAATTTTTCAAGATTGTCGGAACTTTTTAGTCAAGTTTCGATTTAATGGGTGTGAGTGACGTAGTAATTGCACATTATTTGCTTTGACAGTGACAATTGTCTGAGCATATCGCTTTATTATTATTACTAAGTTTATCAAAATTGTTTGTACAATTTTTTCCAAAACATCATCGATGACTTGTATTATAACAGTATTAGAATGCGGTTTTTTAATCGATTCTGCTTGATACATGCATTTTATATATTAATTGAAAAATGATATTTTCATTGTTACTGTTACTATTAACAGTTCATTGTTGTTGGAAATTTAATTAATTCATGCTTTTCATAAATGCACAACTCTCGCTGTCTCAAGTTTTTCACATTTTCCATATGCAGTTAATGAACATATATATATATATACATATATAAAAGGTTGTCGATTTTTGTCGTATTTAGGAAGCGCGTTTATCACGTAGCACACAGATTTCTTGATAGAGTTTGATATATATATATATATATATTAGGACCTTGAATAAGTTCTCGCTTGTTTTTTTAGTTAAAAAAAAACATTAATTTAAAATAATAAGGCTTACAATAACTTTACTCAAAGTATTGTCCATCATTAGAGACCACTTTCTCCCATCTTTCTGGCAGTAATTGAATCCCCCGTCGAAAAAACGATTCATCTTTTGACGCAATCCATGAATCGACCCATTTTTCGGTTTCTTCGAAAGAATGGAAGCGCTGCTCGCTCAAACCATGCGCCATCGACCGAAACAAGTGGTAATCCGAGGGGGCTATGTCCGGTGAATACGGCGGGTGAGGTAGAACTTCCCATTGAAGCGTTTCC